TTGGTTTTAGTGTTGACATACATAGAAATATCTGTCTTGTATAGAAGCCCGTCTCATATAGAAGCCTGCAAAATTTCCCCCAAAAAGTCATATAAGCCGTGGCTTTTACACACGACTTAATAGACGCCTTCACGGTATGTACTCTTACCTTAGCTGTGCTGATACCCCTGAAAGTAGTTACTTTGATCTGCATGCCATCTTATTTGTGGTTTGGTTGTCGTCGTTGTTGTTGCTGGTGGTGGTGATGTTGGTGTTGCTATTGTGGTTACCACTGTCTTTGTTTTTGTCCTTGATGTCATCCTGCTGTGCATGGCTCGATGTCCTGTGTGTACCCGCTGTAGTGTTACGTCAGCTTTGCCTTCTGCAGCGCAGCGCTTGTATCGGGCGCAGGTTCATGCCCGGCCGAGGTAGCTCATTCTCTGCTCTCAATCATTCAGGTAACGCTGATGTTAATCTTGCCAGTGTCCAGTGTGCTGTTTGCTCATTGCAGGTTACTGTAATTTCACGAATTTTCGGTGTACTTTTATTTTCGGTACTTTCGGTGCGTCTGTTTCATACCTAAAATTTCAATACTTCGAACAAGCACTAACACGCATAATCCAATAGGGAACTGCTTCTCTGTACCGAAAATTTCTGTTCACCTAACCTAGCCTGTTGCCATCATACCGAAAATATTGAGCACTGAAAATTTCTGAAATTAGAGTACATGTGAGGACTGTATGTAACTGGTATGATAGACGAGGGTTTTTGCCCCCCCCCGGAAATTGTGGGTCAGTATTGTGTTGCCCGATGTCCCGCAAGCGTCCAGGTCTTACCGAAGAAGAGTGAAATATACTGGTTTGAAAATTGTTTATTAGGTTTCAAATACAGAAGAAATCACATGGAAACTAGTTATGAAGCAACAATCCACGACTGCGACAAGATAATAAGCAGTCAGAAAGTGCGATATCAGGGCTCAGTATCTGAGTTAAATTATTAGGTTCCCATCGAATATTACCAAAACGGACATTTCTTTCTAGCACCCCTTCAAGATACTCTGAGAACAGCACCGCGTTGCCTTTGTTCCACGCAAAGAGTTCCAGCAACGTTCTGTAGGCTTTTCCTGTGAATACAATCATTGTGAGTGTAATCATCAAGAGCATGGTTACTGCGCTGAAAGCAAGAGTGCTATCCACATACCCACATCACCTAGCCTGACAACGGTACATGTTGCTTTCTCCACCCAGTATCTTGTGTAGACAACCAAAGCTTCTGAAACGACTGAAAATTGAAACACCTGAAGGAGGCATCTGTGTGATAACACACAGGTTTGTCTCTATGTAATAATAATAGAGTGATAACACACAGGTTTGTCTCTGTGTGTATCAGCAATATGTATCGGCAATTGTGTAACCTCTATATCACACACACTGCAGGGGCTAGACATATCTGCCTTGTGCCGGGAGATGTCTACCTGTCAGATCCAGGCTGGCGCTAATTCGTAAATTACTTCCTCTGTCAATCTCTCGTCTTTTTTTGCGTTGCTATTGTCTTTTGTTTGCGTTGCTGCTCAGAATGCCAAAGCTAGTAATTCGGCAAAGTTCTACGCACTGTTAACCCTTGGAGAAATTGGCAAGAACAGGTCAGTTGGCGTACATGCAGGCATGTGGTTATAGCCCACTGGATCACATCAGTCCAGTCTTGGATACTCTGCAGTCCTCTGTTTGTGCTTCCAGGCCATGCAGATATATTAGGTAGTCCTACTGGTTGAGATGATGATGTGATCCTGGAAATCCTCTGATGGGTGTATTTGTAAGAGCAGTCTCAGAAAACACCAATGTTTGTGTGCTTGTGTGTGTGTGTGTGTGTGTTTGTTTGTTTGTTTGTGTGTGTGTGTGTGTGTGTGTGTGTGTTTGTGTGTGTGTGTGTGTGTGTGTGTGTGTGTACATGTGTGTGTGTGTGTGTGTGTGTGTGTGTGCATGTGTGTGTGTGCGTGCGTGTGTGTGCGTGTGTGTGTGTGTATGTGTGTGCGTGTGTGTGTGTATGTGTGTGCGTGTGTGTGTGTGTGTGTGTGTGTGTATGTGCGTGTGTATGTGTATCAGTTTCAGTGACTGATCATTTCTTTGCCTGTTTCTCTCTGCTGCTCCCACGCCACCCACTGTAGATCGTTGGGTTTGGTCAATGAGGGGCCCATCTTGGACTGTTTCTCGGACGCCTCGGAGGATGTGAAGACTGCGGCGTCTGTGTGTTTGGGTGAGTAACGCGAGCTGGAGATAAGAGGATATGCAATACACGTCATATAGTACCTTTGCCACCCAAAGTTCTATATTTGAGGTTTCTGTACGCACTTAAAGGGGAAGTCCGGTGAAAAATTTAAATTTCAGCGTCGGTAGAGTTTCGGGCGCTGAGTCGAATGGTGTTGGTCCCACGTGTCTCCGACAAAGCGTTCTCGAGATATTTCCGTTTGAAAAACTGAGTTTCGGGGGCTGCGCCATGACGTCATGCGGCCGCGCCACACCCTCTGCAACGTCATAGCGTGCAGCTAGGTCAAAAGGAGTGCGTGAAAGCAATAGTGTCAGTGCTATTTCAAATGATTTGGCGACTGATATTAGGTGGTGCAAGCGACCCCGAAGACCTGTAACTCCTTGTGAGAGTGAGGATGCAGCCATGGCTGACCTTCATGAGTTCGGTCTGGGGCTGAGAACCTCGGTGTTCAGCTGAAGAAATGGCCGCGCGGGCCGGTCAAGAGTGAGCGCTACTGAGTTTCCGACTGATGAAGAAGCAGCAGCTATTGCAGACGAGGCTGATGTAATTATCAGATCGCTGGAGAGCAGGGTCGCCAAAATGGAGAAGAGTGATGCGAGTGCTCTAAATGTTGTTCCATACCGATTAGATTCGCTTAGACTCCAGTAGCCTGCCACATGGTGATGTTTTGGTGCGAACTTGGAATATTTCGGACTACTCAATTGGAGAACAGTGCAGGCTCTTTGAACCACGGGCACGACTCTTCGCTCGCAACGCCATATGGAATCTGAAAGTTCTAGGTCCGGGAGCTGTTCGCTGTTTTGTCACTTGTCACGGTTGTGCACTCGTCGCTGTAGCATAAAATAATGAGGCGGGTGCGGAAAACTAAAATTTTCTTTCTCAAAGCACAACCACCGGCACCGGCAAGGAGAATCGCACGTTCTCTGACTACATGACTGTACAATACGACTGATACGAGTGTAGTACATGACAAGTCCGTGTGTTGACTAGTTTTCTGAGTCTTGTGTCAGTTGTGACATGAGTTTGTTGACTGCACTACAGCTAGATAACCATGGTCTACGCGCTCTGCGCTGCGTGCATGCAGTGTGTTATCATGGTAGACGGCTAAGACGGGCTGACGGAAAAGTCCAACTCGGAAACGGCTAAAATGTGGTATAACCTCCAGGTTTACCAAGCTGAAAATCACAGGTTACTTAGTGTTTGTAACACTGAATCGAATGGTCTTGGTCCGAAGAAGCTGCGACAAACAGTTCCCCAATCGAACGCGCTCCGAATATGGCCATTTTTGTACACAACTAGATGGTGTGGCTACCTGGCTGCACGCTGTGACGTCATCACCTGGATCTGGGTGATGCGCGCTAAAATTCGCACATGTTCGATTGGGCGTATCTGACGAACCATAAGCCGCAGCCTCCTCGGACAAAGACCATTCGACTCAGCGACCCGAACTCTACGGACTGTGAAATTTAAATTTTTCACCGGACTTCCCCTTTAAGGCTGTACTCACACTACTTGAAAGTTTGACGCGAATGTCGCGTTCAAAACTAGACAAAAGTACTTGAAAAAGCCTTTCCAAGCACACTGCACTCCAGTGACGACTTGAAACATTTTTGTCAGTAAATTACCATGGAGAAACAGTCATGATTGTCATGTGGTAGTTTTGCAAATCCCGAGGCTGCCTTCCTTCAATTTTTTTGCGCTCGATCAACTTATTTGAAATTTTCAGTTCATGAGAAAAATAGAAACAGTTATATCTTGCTTGGATCGTGGAGTTCATTCGCCATGCCTCGCGAAGAAGTAGCACATCGTCGACGTCGACGGATGAAGAGGTTTCTCTCCACAGCTCGATGAGCTTCTTCTCCAAGTCGTCAGAAAACACTACGCGAGGCATGATGTCGGTACAAAAGCAATGGTACAAAAGAAATGCGACAGAAACGGCAATCAAATTAACGGGAAGCTACTGGAAGAAAGAAGACGGAAAATACTCGGAAAAAACACCACAGAATTCAGAAATGACAGGCAAAAAAAGGAAACAAGTATATGTACAGGAGCAGTACGACCACGAGGAAACAAAGCATCAAACAATTTCTGGAGCCTTTCAACGTACAATAGTACTCCGGCCTCCTGACCTCACACAGCTTTCCAAACGGCTCGAAAGCAAAAAACCTCGTAGAAGAGGGTTCCGTTTCCGCTGAAACCTTTCAAGCGGCTTTCAAGGGCTTTTTTCATTTTCGCAACCGTCGCCGTGGCAACATTCACACGTAAGTCACTTGTATGCGGTTTTTCAAGTAGTGTGAGTACAGCCTAAGTGACTTTAACCCATAAATGGGCGTTTTGCCACTCAGCACGCTCCCATCTAAGGCGGATTTGATGTCATTGCGTATCCTCTTATGCTTTCAACCTTGCACCATCTTTGGCTCAGATTCACTGATTTTAATACCACATTGGATTTGAAGCCACCAGCTGTTGGAGAGTATTGCCAATGCCCGCATGCAGTCTTACTTATTGGAGGGGTTAAGCTGCACATTGTTTTGACGCAACGCGAAAGTTTCACTCACGTAAGTCACGTTATTTGGCTCGCGCATTGGAAATCAACGCGAGAGACCTGCATCTCACGTCGAAATTTGGCGTTTTACGACAATCGATGACCCATTTGACGTGAAATTGCGCGTCACGTCAAAGATAATGTGTAGCTTATTGTCTCTATTGGCAAAATAATGTTGATGTGTGGAGTTATACTCTTGGTATACGTTATGTAAACATGGATGTGGCTGGGGTTTCGGCCTTTGGCCTCTGGTTGGTGGATCTGATCTATCTTCCCCCACCGTTTAGGAGCCACATCTGACACCTGACCACGGGTGTGGTGGCGTCCCGTGGAGGCGGAAAGGTGGTTCTTGACCCGCGCTGTACGTGAATCCATACACTTTTTTTTACATTTTTTTAATAGACTGTGTTTATGTGGCTGTGTTTGATTGCTTACTGATGTGGTAGGTTTGATCAGTTCTGGCAATCCAACGCACTTTGTACCCATCATCCTATCTGAGATTGGCTCTAAGTCTCGGCACCAGTACTTGCTGCTTCACGCGTTACGCGAGGTGAGGAGTGGACATGTGTATGGATGTGTGTGTGTGGGGGGGGGGGGGGTGCGAGTGCGGGCGTGTGTGTGTGTGTGTGTGTGTGTGTGTGTGTGTGTGTGTGTGTGTGTGTGTGTGTGTGTGTGTGCATGTGTGTGCATATATGTATGCATATATGTGTAGGTGTGTATATTTGTGTTGGTGTGTGTATCTCACACATGATGTTCCATACCTGAGCATTCATATGGTCTTTGCTCTACGGCTGGCCTCTATATCGTTTGAGCATCATCTTTGCTCTTCTTCATGCACTCATGACCTTTCCCAACCTGGCTGATGACAACGTGAATAGCATGATTGATCTGTTGATATTGCTGCAGCTTATCACTACCTTGTCATCCGATGAAGCTGACATTCAGTTACTTCAACCTTGTTCCGATGCCATCTGGTATGTATACACCCAATTCGTCTCTCTCTCTCTCTCTCTCTCTCTCTCTCTCTCTCTCTCTCTCTTCTCTCTTCTCTCCTCTGTTCTAAGGCATAGCAGTTGGTTATGTTTGTCAATGACGTGCACATTCTTCTTGCATGAGTTGTGCCTCACTTCACAGCAAACTCAAACACATGGCAACAATGCCACTCTGACCAATATCACATACATACTTCAGGTGAACTATGACGTCTACGCAGAGGACCAGCCTATTGCAGTGTTTGAGGGGAAGTGTTCTTGACCCCAGTGCATTTCACACATACTGGTTCGAAAACTATTGTCGTCTTGCAGAGCAGGCTGTTGCTAAAATCAGGTGATCAAGTAAGCAGTTGTCAGCTCTATTCATGTATGTGTTTGTTCTCTAAGGCATCCTTACTCAAAATGTTCCAGTGTGTTGTCACCGATGTGTTATGGTGTACTGAAATTCACCCTGTGTGCGGGTGTACACGCATGTGTGTTTGTGTGTGTGTGTGTGTGTGTGTGTGTGTGTGTGTGTGTGTGTGTGTGTACGTGTGTGTGTGTATTTATCCGCTCTCCGATCTAACCCTGCTGCCATCCTGCAGGGAACTACTGTTCACGCACTGCGAGAGCATTGAAGAAGGCACGCGTAACATGGTGGCTGAGTGCCTGGGCAAGCTGACTCTGATCGACCCTTTTAAGCGGCTGCCTATTCTACAGGTACAGTACACACGAACACGTCTTTCTGAACCCAAGCACTGCTGTACTCGCTCTAGTGATGCACCTTTAATGCAAGGCCAATCACAGACAGGGCACTAAGAGAGGGCACTACTTTTTCTATGCTGATACATGTACATCACCCAGCATGAAAGAATGTGAAGAAGAGGTTGGTGCGACTTCGGCGATAACTGGGGAATTGTGTGTTGCTCCCTACGTGGGAGCTCGCGCTTTTCCTGCCGACTTGACTTGAATTCTCACTTATGAAAGAAGAAAGAAAAAAAGAAAAATGACCGGAATCTGGACTAGTGCTGTAGTACTCATTTGGATGAGGAATTGAAATGGTAATAGAATGTGTCCGTTTGTGAACACAATCTGGGCTACTGGTGACCTTTAGTATTTTTCTTTTCAACACTATCAACTAGTGAATGTTTGGTGCTACTGTAGTTCTGAAAATGGACTTCAGATTATGGATTGGTTTGGTTCATGTAAGCCGAATCGGCGGTCCACCACCTCGCGGTCAGCCCCGATGCCAGAGGAGTACCACTGTAGCGCCCAAAACTACAAAAAAAACTAGTGCAGCATTTGCCCAAATGTTGCGACAGGATAGCCAATTGGCGTGTGGATTCTATGTTTCTTCAGTAGTTCCTGTTACAGTACTCTGTGCAATGGCCACACTGCTTGCTCTGCTCACCCTGCTCCCACTGCTTGCTCTGCTCAGGCTGGTTTGTCAAGCCCATCAACAGCAGTGGCACGCGCAACTGTGATCTCTGCCGTTCGCTTCACGATATCCGACAAGGTCAGTGGCCTATTTGAAGAGGAGTTTGTTCTGGCCCTCGTATGGTGTGTGTATAATAATAATGATAATACCGTATTTCCACAAATAGTAGGCCGGTCTACTATTTTTTCAACCTCGTCCTAACCCGGCCTTATAATCGAGGACGGTCTTGTATTCGAGGACGGTCTTTTATTCTTTCAACCCAGTTTGACCCCGGTCTTCTATTTCTCGCCACACAGTTTTACCCCCGTTCTTCCATTTTCTTCTACACAGTTTGAGCACGGTCTTCTATTTTTTCCCACAGTTTGAGCACGGTCTTCTATTTTTAACACAAGAACAAAGACTCATTTAGTAGGCCCGGTCTTCTAATCGGAGACGGTCTTTTATTTTTTCAATCGCCCCCTGCCCCGGCCTTGTATACGAGGAAGGCGTTGTATACGAGGACGGCCTTTTATTTGCGGAAATACGGTAATAGAGAGGTTCCGGGGTACGATTTTCTGTGCCAAAATCCGTGTGGGCGCTACGGATTTTTTCCAGGCGTGCTCCATACGATTTTTCGGCACGGAGAATCCGTGTGGACTGGCTTTCACACGAACCATGTTTCGTATGGAGATTTTGCGTCATCGGGTGCAGAAAGATTTTTCGCGTACAAATTTGGTACGAGAAACATCGATTTTCCGCGGGAAGTTTTGATTTGGGTACAAATTTTCAAAATGCAAAGGCATAGCGCGGGAATGTGACGTGTTTGCGATCGTAACCTAGGCAATGACGGCAAACACATAAGTTCCGTACTCCGGAACATTTCACTGCTCGAAAACGACGTATAAAAAATCCGTAGCGCCTCTACGGATTTTGGCACGAAAAATCGTACTCCGGAACCTCCCTAATACACACAGCTCGCATCTTCCCTGAACCTGTTAGACAGGGGCAGAGTCGACGCATCTGTCAACAGTGTCAAGCCAAGTTAGTTTTTCTCCTGCAGCTTGGAGAGCGCTCTCCACGGAGCGCTTTCCAACATGTGTGTGTATGTATTTGCTGAAATGAACCTAACATGCACACACATGTGTGTGTGTGTGTGTGTGTGTGTGTGTGTGTGTGTGTGTGTGTGTGTGTGTGTGTGTGTGTGTGTGTGTGTGTGTGTGTGTGTGAGTGTGTGTGTGTGTATGTGATGTGTATATTGGTACAATATAGTTTCTACCATGTCGTGACTGCGACTGCCTGTAATGTAGAATGTGTATGCATGACTGTGTTGACTGCCTGCAGGTAAAGCGTGTGGATGAGCTGTTGAAGGACTCGATCCGTGACTTTCTCTCCATGCTAGAAGACCCTGATCTTGTAAGTTTGCTTAGTATGGAAACTCAACTACTTGTATCGTAGGTACTGCGCACTGGCGTATGTAAGCATCATTAGCGATATTCCAGATATTTTGCCCCAGCGCCATCGGACACGCTACAGTCACTATGGTATTGACCGTACCACTCGTTGTCCCGTGTACCCCGCGAATCAATCAAATGCACTGATCCGGGCTCTAAATTTCGGAACTTTTCAGCGGAGCCACCCTCTCCCGATAAGTAACTTGTACCCAGATGGCTGACCCTGAATCACCTTCCGACGCCCCTATGCCCGATCACGATTTGACCACCCTACTCCGACTGAGGAGAATATTTGCGTCCTGCGTATAGGGATGTGTTTGTGCAGCACGTAAGCATGGCAACGAGTGCATATCGTGCACGACACTACGCCAACGTATCATTAGCGACATTACAGATCTATCACCCGATCAAAATTTGTCGAACTCTTGCTCCAGCTTTGGAGGAGAAGCACGTGGAATGGGTTTGCTTGTGCAGCCTGTGAGCACGGCGACACAAGCACAGCATGCCTGTATCACTACGCACTACTTCCAAGTATGCACTATACACTACACACTACACACCTGCGCTAGGGCCTGTGTCGATGGAAAGAACCCACGTGACCAGTTTTGGCAGCTAGCAACAAGTACAAGTGTGTGTGTGTATGTGTGTGTGTGTGTGTGTGTGTGTGTGTGTGTGTGTGTGTGTGTGTGTGTGTGTGTGTGTGTGTGTGTGTGTGTGTGTGTGTGTGTGTGTGTGTGTGTGTGTGTGCCTGCATGTGTGTATGTATGTATGTGTTTGTGTGTCTATACGTCTGTACCTGTGTGTGTGTGTGCGTGTGTGTGTGTGTGTGCGCACATGTCTGCATGTATGATTGTGTTGTTTCAGAATGTACGGCGAGTTACGCTGTTACTGCTCAACTCGGTAGCACACAACAAGCCGTCACTGATCATTGACCGACTACCCACCATCCTGCCAGCACTCTACCAGGAAACGAACATCAGAGTAAGCCTGAGAACATTCTACACTATCATGTATGTGTGCATTGTACTATGTAGTGACTAGCGCGATGTATGGCTACCTGGCTGTATAGGCTGGTCATCTCACATCGGGGCCATGCTTCAGCGCAGTCCATAGTTCATACCGTACACAGTCCATGCCATGCACAGTCCATGCCATGCACAGTCCATGCCATGCACAGTCCATGCCGTGCACAGTTCATGCCGTGCACAGTTCATGCCGTGCACAGTTCATGCGGTGCACAGTTTGTGCCATGCATAGTCCATGCCGTATACAATCCCCATGCCGTACACAGTCCAGGGTGTGCGCAGTCCATACCGTACACAGTCCACGCCATACACAGTCCATGCTGTACACAGTCCACGCTGTACACAGTCCGCACCGCACACAGTCCATGCCGTACACAGTCCGCACCGCACACAGTCCACGCTGTACACAGTCCACGCTGTACACAGTCCGCACCGCACACAGTCCATGCCATTCAGTCCATGCTGACACTAAGCGTGTGAAGTCAGGGTCTGGATTTCACTCGTCAACACTGTACTTGTACAAGTACATTAGATTCTAGATCCATGTGCATGGACTGTATATTGCTTAAGCCCAGCTTCCTTTGTACCTGGGATTCTGGCAACACGTGGTTTCTATTCCTCCTCGGTCTGTACGCATGGTTACTGTACCAAACACAACTGGATGTGCTCTAACAAGAGATCCCCCCCCCCCGGGCTGATCCGCTCTAAACCGCTTCTCTAAGGTGTGTGTTGTCGTGGTGCAACATGGCTTCCAGCGACACGTGTGTTGTCGTGGTGCAACATGGCTTCCAGCCACACACGCAAAGCCCATGGTTATTGTGAGAATCATTGCTGGTGCTTGCAGAGACTTGCTCTGGCAGTTATGTTACAATGTGCGTTTGGCATCAGGAGGGGGAGGGGGGAGTGGACTGCCCAGACCTGTATTCTATGCAACCTTTAAAAAAGAGGTTATTGAATCTTTATGCGTACACACTGTACTGTACTGTATACACGCACGCGTGCGTGCGCGCACACACACACACACACACACACACACACACATACGTACCAGCTGCTTTGACCCTGTACCATCATTCAACTTGCTCAGTGACGTTAAAAAAACATTCACATGCCCAGACACAGCTACAGGCATACACACGCAGCCACTTTTGCCCAGCACTATTCTTGGACATGCTGGGTTTCTTCTACACACCAGCCCTTACACACACACAGGTACAGCGTACTAGTGCTGATTGCAGCCTAGTGCAGGCTAGTGCAGGCTGCCGCACCAGTCAGCTGTGTTATGACAGTTGAAATGAGAACAGTTTGACAGCAATCTGCTGGCCATCTGGTCATCTAAGCACCCAGGGCCATGCACCCTATACTGCACTGGGGAAAGCAGTTGCAGCTGCTGCTGCATGCACTATGACACTGCACACATGCACTAAGTACCTGCTTGGCCTGCTTGGGCCTAGCACCTGTGAAGAGCAACTTCTGCACTGTGTCAGTGTGTGTCAGTGTGTGGGGGGTGATTTGCTGGTGACTACTTTTGACTCTTTGGCAACAATTACATGATTGGAAAATGAATCTTCCTGCTTAGCATCAACAGTCCTTACTTGTTATGCTGTCAAGTCTTCTGACATTGGTCTGATATTTATATGGGGTATAGTATGTTAATTAACTAATTATTACTTGCAGTGCTGGATTTATGTGATAGTGGTAGTTCTGTAGTGTAGTGTCCAGGTTTCTAGTATTACAGTGTGGTATTTAGTTGTGTAGTGACTTATTTGTGTGTAGCTACAGTGTGTGTAGGTTACCAGCAGCAGCACCACCACCACCAGCAGCAGCAGCACACCATACTGCTGTGCAGTTACTGCCAGTGTGGTGTGTGCGTGTGTGGTGTGTGTGCTTCTGCTGATAGCATGATGAGATGCTCTCCAGCATGTAGCACTCTTGTCCACCACTGATTACTAGTAATCTCATACTGTATGTGTTGATGTATACCCCCCCCCCCCAATACACACAAAAGCACACTCACACACCTGCCCCATAAGAAGTGTGATAGGATTAAAGCTATGATTTCATGCACCCTCTCCCCTTACTCACTTGTGAGATCTGCATTCAACACTTGGCTATACATGTAAATATGGGCGTACATAGTGGTGGTGCAAGGATGGGAATCCCTTTGCCTGATGTGTTCCTCAACACTTCCACTGACGTGGCTGCGAATCCGGCTAACTTTACTGTTTTTCAGACAAGGACCTTCCTGCCAGGGATAGCTGCTTCATGTCAAGCCTGATTCTCTCTCTCTCTCTCTCTCTCTCTCTCTCTCTCTCTCTCTCTCTCTCTCTCTCTCTCTCTCTCTCTCTCTCTTCTTTCTTTCTCTCTCTCTCTCTCTATCTATCTATCTCTCTCTCTCTCTATCTCTCTCTTTCATTGTTCGCCTCGTCTTGCCAACTGAAACTGAACATGACATAATTTCCTGGGGTCAGATTTTGCCCACGTGGACCGATTTGTAAAGCTAGAATTGCCTTTGGGAGAAACTGGGTTGTTACATACCACTCTCCTAGAAGTTTATGATCTTCACTTAGGTTTCTGTAGACAGAAATCAGGTCACCAGAAAGATTCAAAGCAGTGCCTGTAGACAGTATTTGGGTCACGGAGAAGATCCAAAGCAGATGCTAGCATCGGAGTTCACCCTCTGTTAACTAGTGTCTTGCACTGATTGCAGCAGGTGCTTGCCTCATTATGTAGCTTCAATGTTGAGCCATGCTGGTGAGGGTATTGCTCCGTCAAGTAATGTTGATGTTAAGCTGTTACTGTGGAGGGGAGCGGCTCATTATGTAGCTTCAATGTTGAGCCATGCTGGTGAGGGTATTGCCTGATCAAGTAATGTTCTTCATGTTGAGCTGTAATTGTGGAGGGGAGCGGCTTGTTATGTAGTTATGTAGCGTCCATGATGAGGCGTTTTGATCTGTTTTCAAGAGGACATGGACCAGATGTGAGCTTCTTGTGCCTGGCCTTCTGATAACGAGCGTCTTGGAGTCTTGGATTGATGACCGCCTTGTACTTGTAGGCTCAAGTTTGAGTAGCTATGTGTAGTACTGGTGAGAGCGGAAAATAAGTAAGTGCCCCTCCCGGGAGCACTGGCCATCAAGGACACACGGAGGCATCAAGTGGCAGCATTCCGCTGAGTGGGATTTAGAGAATAATAGAGATGCTGTGCATGCACCATGTACCAGCATTGTCCCTCAAACAGCAGGTGGTAACGACTGATTGCAAAGAATGTGTGAGTAGTTCTCACTGCCCAGATCAATGACTACTTGGAAGTATGTGGGAGGTCCACTCTAACATGGCTAGTCTCACACACACAGGTATTTCTAAAGCAAGGAGTCCACAGGATGATGCCCAGCTCTGACCTTTTGTTTCTTCCTTATATCTCCGAGGCCAGGGCCGCCCGCACCCTGTGTCAACTGCAGTGGTTGTAGTGCTGTACATGTACGCCAGTGCCTGTGTGTGTGTGTGTGTGTGTGTGTGTGTGTTGTGCTGTACTCTAAGTTAATAGCCTTCCTTACTCCTCCTCTTGGCTACACATTTGTCCTGTTGTTCGCCTGGTGTACAGCTGCTCGGGTCAATCATGGCGTGTCTGGGGTGTTGGGAAGGTGAACATGGAATCCGAATAGGCACTCCTGGAATGCCAGACCAACTGATTGTCTTCTTCTTGTCAATTTGTACATGAAGAAGCAGCATGTTTCACGACTAGATTGTTGCCTCAATCATCCTTGTCTGTGACTGTTTGCCGGGGATGGCGGCTCTCTGATGAACTCCAAGTGACCAGATGGGCAACGTTACTTGCCAGTAAATCTGCACTACTGCTTTCCGTTGCTGGGGAGTGTACTAACGAAGGATGTCATGTCATGCAGGTGCATTTTACCCAGGCTTGATGATATCCTGCTGAGTTTCCAAGCCGCTTTCTTCTTTTTGAGTAAACTATATCCTTCGGCACCACTTTGTTCTGTTGTTATTTGGAAAGCAAGCAATCCTGAGCAATTCCGCTTTGTTTTCATGCTTTCGGCTAATTTGACTCGAAATGTCCTGTTGGATAAGGCCTTGCCCCAAGGGGATTTTTGCATCTTCCGCCACGCCACAGGCAAGGGTGATCCATGTCAAGCCTTTTGCACATGCATGGGTGCCAGTGACCAAGTGTTTTCCAAGATGTACCAGCAGGCATACGCACCGTGGTGAGTGTGCCAGTGTCGTGGGCCACTAGTATGTGGTGGTAATGGTTTGCTAGCATGGACCCTGACTTGTACCAGGTGCTAGCCTGGGGACTTCAGCTGACTGTCGTATGCCCTGTCGTGCCCCAAGCACATTCTGTGTTAGTGTTGGTGTTGTTGATCCATACACTCACACAAAGGCACCTGTGACAGAGGAAAGCTTGCTGGTGCCCTAGTGTGTGCTGGCCATCTTGCTACTGTAGTAAGTGCAGTGCAGTGCACCGGTCTCATGTTCTGCTGGAGAGCGTTGTGATCCTACCTGAGGTACAAGAGCAGCAGCAGTGTGCTGTGCCATCCACTCTGACAGGAGCATCCTAGGGGAGAGAGGATGGCAAGGGCACGTAATAGTACCCAAGTAGAAATCCCATGTGCTCTTAACTCGGGGGGGGGGGGGGAGCGTGCGCTTCCTCCTGCCAACTCTCGCCAACACCATCACCAGCATCACCACAACCACCACCACCACCAACACCACCACCACCACCACCACCACCATCGCCACAACAACAACGTGAGAATAAAGAATTCAAAACAACAACAGCAACAGCAACAACAACAGCAACACAATTTCTTTCCTGCGTTGTTTGCATTTAACAGAGTATTTACTTCAGTACTTTTTTGTCTTGAGGGTCGGAAAGCAGCAGTTGTCCTGTCCATGACAAACTACACCTTAGCATATCTGCTGGCTCATGGCCTACCCATCTCACTGCTCTCAGAATTATAATGCTACCTCCATGCCCTGAGTTGTGTGCTCCCTACATGTACTGTTTTAAGTAGTTTTTTTGCGGCTTTCAACAATTAGATACAGACCTACTGCGGTAGAACTCACTATGTCAGTATCACACCTTTACAATTGCACATGTATACCTTGTCATTATGTTTCGACTTTAACATGACTAGGCGACGAGGAGACACTAGGGAGGTTTAGTTCCCACGTAACGGAAACTCGTACGTGGGTGATCCACATAAAGTGGATGAAGGGCACCCACATTGCAATGTTGTGTTTAGTCACACGGAACAAACAAAAGCATGAAGCGAAAGGCCCAAACCTGGTCAAAGACGAAGCTACCCGGGCCTAAGAAGCTCATCCAATATTTTGATTTCGTGCTTCGGAAACTTCTTCAGCTGAGCACCCTCACAGCTCGTACAATGCGCTCCATTCTGATTTTCACCCACGTTTTGGCGGAACGTGGGTGAGCCTCCATACACGGTATGTCGTGAATCAGAAAACGCCTGTACGTGGGTCACTGAGTATCACGTGGTACACACACGTAAAGTACCCACGGATTACGTGGGACTAAACCTCCCTAATACCTTTAGTACAGCGATAAATAGTATCAGCGAAGCGGACATTACGCCAAGAACAAAGAGAATGTGTTGAAATTAAGGTTCCTAATCGATTTTCTTGAGATGACTGTTACACCACCTTATCCTTCGTCACATGAACAATGTATGTGTGTTGAGGCAGGGACTTGTTTACTGCTCTAACCGTATCCCGACTAACAGTCCTTTAATGTTGTTGTTGTGATGCTGCTGGGCAAAAGAAAAGACATAGCGGACAATGTGATAACCAGCTAGAGGGTTTTTTTATGCAACGATCACTGGCTTCTAGTTGGCTGTAAATGAAATCTGTGTTTTATTTTGTGTGTGTGTGTACGTGTGTGTGTGTGTGTGTGTGTGTGTGTGTGTGTGTGTGTGTGTGTCCCTGTCTATGTCGTCGTGTGCAGAAAGAGCTGATTCGTGAAGTAGAAATGGGTCCATTCAAGCACTCCGTCGATGATGGACTGGATATCAGAAAGGTAGGCTGTGGTCCTCTTGGTGTGTGTTGTGTGTGTGTGTGTGTGTGTGTGTGTGTGTGTGTGTGTGTGTGTGTGTGTGTGTGTGTGTGTGTGTGTGTGTGTGTGTGTGTGTGTGTGTGCATGCGTATGTGTGTGTGTGTGCGCGCGTGCGTGAGTGCGTGCATGCATGCGTGTGCGCGTGCATGCGTATGCGTTAAAACCAGCAACAGTAGCTAATGCCATGCTTGACACTGCATCCGTACTATTGATCTCCAGCTGTCTATCATCCAGTGCCTATACACACATGTTTACCTACACCTCTTCCCTCTCCTATATCTTATCTCTTCGCTACCTTGTTATTGGGAAGAAATTCCTGTTTGGATTTTTCCGAAATAAAGCAAATGTCATCATCAGTCATCAGGCAGGTGCATGGCAGGTGCCGTGACCTCCCCGTGGTGCGGTTCTTGGAACTGTCATCGTTAACAGTTAGCTGTGCAGTTGTGTGTTCAGCTGCACATCACATTGATCATCACCTGGTAGCGCGGCATGAGCAGCAATGCCTTGCGCCATTTGATGATTTGGAGTTGTGACAATATCGAGGCATAGGCATAGGCAGTCGGTGTATACTGCACTGCCATGTGTACTTGTGTTAAGTGAAACTGTCATGTGTACTGTTGCTTAACTCTCACTGCACCGCAAAGTTGATAGTATGGGTGCTGGGAATACTGCCAGAAACACCTGCGTCGAATGGAGGCAGTTACTCTGGGATTGGTCATGCATCAATCATAGTATGTTTGTCCAAGTCTTTGCCGCTCCAGTTCTATGCCAGTTTTCTCCTGGAATGTGATGAGCTAATCTGGTTTCAATTGTGGGTCATTTGATTGTGTGTGCATGTGTGTGTGTGCATGTGTGTGTGTGCGTGCGTGTGTGTGCGAGTGTGTGTGTGTGTGTGTGTGTGTGTGTGTGTGTGTGTGTGTGTGTGTGTGTGTGTGTGTGTGTGCGTGTGCGTGTGCCATGCGTACGTGTTGTTCTTAGGCTGCATTTGAATGCATGTACACGTTGCTGGAGTCCTGCCTGGAGAAACTAGATATATTTGAGTTCCTGAGCCATGTTGAAGGTGGTATGAAAGACCACTATGACATCAAAGTGAGTAACATGGACATCTTTGCAACTCGCAACAAGATCATGTCAGATGATCCGAGCTTGGTAGTTGCTCTACTAGTACTTATGTATATGGGTGGTGGTTGGGTGGTAGTTGAGTGGGGTGTGTGTGTGTGGGGGGGGGGGGGGTTGCCTGCGTGCGCATGTGGGTGTATCTGATCTGTCTGTCTGTCTGTCTGTCTGTCTGTCTGTCTGTCTGTCTACCCACGCGCGTGTGTGTATGTATGTGCATGTTTCCTCTTTGCTACATGGGGTATGTTGTGGATTGCGTAACAAGTCTAATGCATTGAGTGATTTTTTTGCTTGTGGCAATTGTGAGGCTACATTGCAACTTTACCATGCCTGTGATGTATTGTGTTCTGTGTTCTTGCTTGCTTGTGTGTGTGTGTGTGTGTGTGTGTGTGTGTGTGTGTGTGTGTGTGTGTGCGCGTGCGTGCGTGCGTGCGTGCAGATGTTAACGTATCTGATGATCATTCGCTTGGCTCTCATCGCACCATTGGCAGTATTTCAGCGTAAGTCTTATGCTACCTTTAATGCCCAATCTACAGTTGCCTCTCTGAGCATTCTCTGTGCGCTCTCTGTGTCGTCTCTGAGCGCTCTCTGAGCATTCTCTGAGCGTTCTCTGGGCTCTCTTTGAGCATTCTCTGGGCACTCTCTGAGCACTCTGAGCGTTCTCCGAGCCTTCTCGGAGCACTTTCTGAGCAATCTCTGAGCGTTCTCTGGGCACTCTCTGAGCACTCTGTGGACACTCTCTGAGGAATAACATTTGGTGTGAGTAAAAGAACAGTGTTAAAAGTGACCAATAGGCATGTGAGGGTGCTTTTTTCACCTGCCGACCAGCAACACGGCTGTGAGGTTCGAATCTTTAGCAGAAACGTATTAGTTCATGCTGCTTAGCACTGCTTAGCACTCTACGCAAAATTCAAACTCATCGGAACACTGAAACAAAGAATGAAGCAAGAGCCCTTATGTGTGGGAGAGAGTGTGCTTAACCTGCTGAATGTGATAGTCATCAGTGCACAAGGATTTGTGTGTACTTACTCTCTACAGAAACAACGACTTGGTGCCTTTTTTTTATTCAATTTCTACAATCCAATACACCACACCACCACATTGCGCTCTTGGCCGATCCAAACTCTGCACTCGCATCAGAGTGCGCTCACATCACTCTGATGTGAGTGCAGAGTTTGGATCGGCCAAGAGCGCAATATGGTGGTGTGGTGTATTGGATTCCATAATGGCCGGGTCGTCGCTACTTCTTCCCAATTTCTACAATATGAGGAGTTGCTGTGCTCTAGGAATTAGGTTCAGTGTAACAGCAGAGGGAAACATGGATGCAGTGAATGGGATTTTGGGTCTGATCTACTCACCTCCCACCGCTTTAGGAGCTGCTGCATCTGCGCCTTGATCCTAGAGGGTGGTGGCGTTCCTGCGGATGCGGAGAACTCGGCCGAGTCTCGCGCGACCTTGGATTTTTGTGCACCGTGTGCTGAGAGTGCTCTGTACCGCAGAGGCACAGGCAGAGGCTGAGCGCAAAGCACGGGCAGAGGCTGGGCGCAAAGCACGGGCAGAGGCTGAGCGCAAAGCACGGGCAGAGGCTGAGCGCAAAGCACGGGCAGAGGCTGAGCGCAAAGCACGGGCAGAGGCTGAGCGCAAAGCACGGGCAGAGGCTGAGCGCAAAGCACGGGCAGAGGCTGAGCGCAGAGCACGGGCAGAGGCTGAGCGCAAAGCACGGGCAGAGGCAGAGGCTGAGCGCAAAGCACGGGCAGAGGCTGAGCGCAAAGCACGGGCAGAGGCAGAGGCTGAGCGCAAAGCACGGGCAGAGGCTGAGCGCAAAGCACGGGCAGAGGCTGAGCGCAAAGCACGGGCAGAGGCTGAGCGCAAAGCACGGGCAGAGGCTGAGTGCAAAGCACGGGCAGAGGCTGAGCGCAAAGCACAGAACAACAAGGCACGGGACTAGTTTGTTGTTTGGTTTAAAACAGCAAATTCTTCCAAGTAGATATTCTGACTTGTCATGAATGAGTGGGTATACAGCTCTTTGGAGTACGCTCAGTACTATTGTACTAATACTAGTATGTGTGCACGTGTGTGCGTGTGTGTGTGTGTGTGTGTGTGTGTGTGTGTGCGTGCGTACGTGTGTGTGTGTGTGTGCGTGCGTACGTGTGTGTGTGTGTGTGTGCGTGCGTGTGTGTGTGTGTGTGTGTGTGCGTGTGTGTGTGTGTGCGTGCGTGTCCTTTGTGTGATCTCCTGCAGGCTTGGGCTCCTTGATGGCATCGCTGAAAACAATAATTGTTTCCAAGTCCAAGGCGAACGCAGTCAAGCAGGAGCTGGAGAAACAGGAGGAGCTTAAGCGTTCTGCCATGCGCTGTGCAGTCGAGCTGCTACAGCTACCTGAGTCTGGTGAGCGGTGCTGCTGGTTTGTAGTCAGCTGTTGTGTGTGCAGTGCGCAGTTTGTGTGTGCGTGTGTGGGTAAGTGGGTGGGTGTGGTGATGGGGAGGGGGGTTGGCATTGCTGAGTTTCACTTCTTTCTCCAGGACTTTATGTTGGTGTTGGTGGTAGTGGAGATAGGGGGATAGGGGGATAGGGGGAGGTATTACATTGAAAATTGAATTGTCAGGTGCTACTCACTGGGGAGATATTTCCTTGTAGTCTGCCTCTAGGTGCTGTTGGCCATTGCCGCACCTCTGTTTGATTTTGTGGATGAATTGTCACTTTTAGGGTGTACATGCACAAGTTTGTCTGCATGTGTATGTCTACATGTCACCACCTGGCTACACACTGTGTTGACAAGCCAGCAGTCTTGCATCACTGGATGATCTGCCAGGCATGTACACAGCTGACCAGAGAAATCCAACCTCATGAATAAAGTAGCGCCGTGTTCGAGTGCACAGACCAGTATTGTGTAGTGCTAGGGCTGCGTAGCGCCCGGCGACGCTATTTTATTCAAGAGGTTGGATTTCTTTGGCCAGTACAGTATCATTGGGGGCGGGGGCAGGCATGTGGTGCTAGCTGACTTAGGGCTGTGTTGACAAACACTGTATCTCGTATCTGTGTGGACTAGATCCAGACATACTTCAGTAGTCCTGTGTACACATACACAGAGTTGGGCAAATGATGATGATGATGTGCATTGGCAGTTCTCAACTTACGAGTTATGCCAAGAAGGCCAGGTTTGCTCAGGCTGTGTTTACATGAGAAATTTCGGCCCGGGTCGAGTTCAGCCCGGGTTGAAAGTCTGTACGATAGACAAAAGAGGTGAGCGTTTACATGAAGACAGTTGACCCGGGTCAAATACTGATATGCCGCCAAAAGTCCACTTCTACAGTCCTGTATGGTCACGTGAATCCGTTCGCGCAAAATTTGCATCTGCAGTGCCGTTCAAACCTGGCGCGAGATACGCACAGAAGTACGTTTGTACGATTTTCTTGACCCGGGTTGATTTCAACCCTCCCTTGGGGGGAGGGTTGAAATCAACCCGGGGCGAAATTTCAACCCGGGTCAAGCGCAATGCGTCATGTAAACGCGCCATTCATTTTGTGTACATGGCGGGTTGAAATCTGACCCGGGTTGAAACGCTTCATGTAAACACAGCCTCAGTGTCTGATGGCTGCGTTTCTAAACCAGCGCAGCTTGGAGCGCACCATTTCCAAGCCTTGCATTCTTGCCTGGTTGTGGGCCGTTCGCAACTTTGAAGTGCGCGGGTCTGCTGCTCCGAGTAACCTGGCATTGCATTCCCGCTCGCTCTCGTCACTATTTCATCTGGCTCTCCTCCCTTGGTGCTGTGTGTGCAGACAAAAACCCAACCGTTAGTGATTTCCTGTCCACGGTCAAGGCCAGCAATGACCTGTCGGAAATGCTGCGCTCGCTTCACAAGAAACCAGGCAATGGCTCTATGGCAACTGGTTCCGTTGCGGCCCCGACGGCGGCGCCTGGCTCACAACTGAGGCGAAGACTTGCTGCGTGAACATGCACTTCTGATTAGTTCTGGAAGGATGGATACTGCGGCCGCATGCACTTCTGATTAGCTCTGAGAGGCTGGATACTGCTATAATCCACGAGGTGCTCTATGGCATGTGATTGTAATGGAATAAGTCTATCATCCCCCTCCCCGCCCCTTCTCTCCACTCGCGTCCCTCTTTCTCCTTGCTAATCCTTCTTTATTCTCTCTACCCCCATTTTCCATAGCTCTGGCTGCTGCTGTTGCTGCTGCCTGTAGTTATGGTGGTATGTCCCTGGTTGTTACATTTTGCGCACACGCCCTGCTGGCTTCACGGTGTCCGTTTTCGTTATCCACTCGACCGTCAGGACGTTCCCTATTGCTTTCTATTCGCGCCCCCCCCCCCCCCCCCCCGCCTTTGTCTGTTGCCCGACTGCGTCGTGTGTTCACCTGCTCGTATCCACTAACTGCTGTACACTGCTTTGCTTTATTCGCATACCGAGGATCCAGTGCCCACACTGCTGCTCAGTGCCACTGCGGCTAGATCCAGCATGAAACCAAACATAGTGTTACGTTGCGTACTACTACTACTACTCGCACTCGCATTTAGCTCTCTCCTTTTTGAGTTCCCACTCATGCGCGAACGCGCGCTTTGGCTTGGCTTCCGTTTCTTCAGAAATTTTCTCCGGAGTCAGCTTCCAGTGCATTCCTTTTAGATCAGATTTTACACATAACATTTGCACTGTCTACTACATGTACACATGTAGTTTATAACTATGATGAGCTTATTATGAGCTTGTACGTTTGTCTCGGTCCTCGTGCCGTCAGAAATCTCATGTCCGTTATTCCTGTCTTTGCGTTGAATGTTGGTCTGCTCATACTGGATGTGTGTGTGTGTGTGTGTGTGTGTATGTGTGTGCGGGCGCCTGTGCGTTTGAGGGTTGGTGTGTGTGTGTGGGGGGGGGGGGGGGGGGGGCATGCGTGCATGAAGACTTTTGAAAGCTCTTCTGGTGGTACAGTGCACCCATTCTTCACTCAGATCCCCAATACCATTATTGATTGCAAGGGGAGTTTGAACATGTTGCCATCATGGTTTTAACGTGCGGTAGGCAGGCTGACTTAAGTTGTAGCTTTTGTCTTGTGACTTATTAGCCACCAGGAGCACAAACAGATGTACCACCACCACCACCATTCCGTGTGGGTGAGAACTGCCAGACTGTGAGTATGTACACTTCTGTGCGTATGCGTGCGCGTGCAAATACGTTCTAGTGTATGATACAGTATTGCTGTTTCTGCTACCTACATTGTATCTACTGGCCGAAACTGGCACACACGCGCCGACTATGAATAGCTTACTGAGGTCTGTGTGTTGCCCTAGTGACAAGCTATCTCCTTGGTGACTATGTTTCTATATCTGACACACTGTCATGTACATGTGCTGTATTTTATAATGAGTGTTCTGTGCGAAGGTTGAGGCAACGAGAGGCATTCAACACCGTGCTGTGCTCTGCTGTACTGTGTTGTACCGGTGCACGTCACACAGTGATAGTGCTGAACATTCACATCAAGGTGTGCCGTGGAAAACTGGAAATACCAGCAGGAGAGGCATGCGCTGGCATCACAGGCACTGTGAACGCGAAGACGGCAACACGGCATGGACACAGAGTGAAGGTGAGAGAGAACCGATCATCTGATATTACAGTCAGCTGCTGACTACTACTTATAGTAGACACACTGTTGTTAATAATACAGTGGAACCTGTCTAAGACGATCGCTCATGAGACCTTCCAAGCGTGGTCTCTGTTACCAGGTGGTCTCCTTATCCAGGGTCATTCGACTGGAAATAGGATCCATTGGTCCTGGTTTCAGTGGTCTTCTAGGACAGGTGGTCGCCTGTTCCGAGTGGTCGCCTTGACAGGTTTAACTGTACTCATAACATTGCACAATTTAACATAATTCACACAATTACTCAATCTGCGAATAGAACTGTTTCGTCCTTTGTGGACTCATCAGCACAGCACAGAGGAATTCACACAATAATGTTGCCCATTCGAGAGGTTCTAGTACTCATAGTATCACACACCCACGACAGTACAGTGTGATGTTCTGCACTTGGTCTAGCTGTGTATTACTACAAGTACAGTATATACACAGAAGCCTTGCTTGGTAGTTTAACATGTTTTTCGATTTTGACGTTGTTGGGTTATGGTTGTAGTCAGGAGTACTACGCGTCCTCGCCTTGTAACGTACAAGTACAGTCTAGGTCAACTCACCCTCTGAACACACTTTCTCCTGTTCCAACTCACCCTCTCAAAACACTTTCTCCTGTTCGAATAGTCTGTTCACCTAACTTAGCTCCTTCTTGTTCATCTAGTATTCACAAAGACCAGGTGAGGTTGTACATGTAGTCCCCAAAACTGGCTCTCATGCTGGCTATGAGGCCATCGGTGTCAATTATGTACTGACTGAAGCTAAAATGTCTTCAAGTTCTGTCAGTGAATACGATGCTGTTCCAAATCCTGTGATTTTCTGCATGCAGGTTTGGCAGTGAGGCTTTTGATATAGACGTGCCCAGGGCTGCCTTGCCCTTAGTCATACTAGTACATTGGCCATGGACTATTGTATATACCATTTGCCTCTTTTGCAAGTTCCGCTACCAGCACATGTGCTTTACATCCGGTATTTCTGTGACTCATCGTTCTGCAGCTGCAGCTAATCTGATTCCGGAATTGGAGGACCAAGCTGCATGTAGTTCCTAAGCTGAGGACTGGGTTCTAAAGGATCATCGTTGCATTACAGCCTCGTGTTATTGCAGAGAGGTAAGATTATGGTGTTGTTAGTCGGAGATTGGAGTTCGCCGTGCGTGTGTGATGCTTCTGTCAGAGGTGTTTTTCAGCCTGGCTGGCTTGTGGCTCCTTTACATGTGCTGGTGATTTGGTAGAGGTAAAACCTGGATACTAGCTAGAGGCAGTGGGTGCGGGAAATGCCCAGCACTTGCCGGTGTTGTTGTAGGTGATGCTCACAGCACTCGTGTATGTACACTGTACTACCAGGGTCAGCAGGGGGACACTCCCATAGACTACCTATTGTACCCGGGTGCAGAGCGCGAGTGTGTCCATGTATGGCACTGCTGTTGATGTGCTGCATACCCGTGTGATACCACTGCTCTGACATACGCCTGCAGCATTCTCCCGGGCAATATCCACGCACGGATGTGCGAAATCACCCTGACTGCACATGTCCCGATGCATGAGAGCAATTACAGGAATATACCTTCCAGCTAAGCTTGTACTAATGGCTGCCAATCATCCTGCAGAGTTCCTAGCCTAAACAAGCTGTAGTTTCGTGCCAGGATTTCTCCCCATTGCATGAGAGCAATTACATGAAAATCTACCTTCCAGCTAAGCTTGTGCTAATGGCCGGCAATCATCCTGCAGAGTTCCTAGCCTAAACAAACTGTAGTTTCGTGCCAGGATTTCCGGTCTGCGTTGCCAGTGGGGTGGGTGTGAGTGGCTGGTTAGTACAAGGTGTATTTCTAGGGGTGTCATGTGATGTTCTAACTGGCTAGTATCACTCCTGTGTCAAGTTCTTTGTCTGTGTGATAAAGACACCCCGAGAGTTCCACTCTAATTGCTAGCAATAGCTGCAGTCGCTACAAACGTCGTCATTGTCAGTGCAATTAGTTCTGTTGCTGTTTTGATTGTTTTTATCCCACTGCCCGGGTACATTGCAAGAGTTTAGCATCTGCTAACCCCCGGGCCTGGGGTACTAGTAGCTGTATTCTCGTGGACGTTACGTTGTTTTTTTCCCATCATGTACCGACGCCATGGGGACTACGTTTGGTCATGTGATCCAATCTGAAGTTGCCGTGCTATGTGATCGTATTCACATCTGGTACTGGTAACCATTATGATTGTGTCACATGACGGTATGCAGTCATGTGACTGATCTCATCACGTGATTGATCTTGACTCTGTAGTCTGTACTAGTGTGCAGAGGTGCCTCTCACTGAACCTACTACTACTACGCTGTACTACTGGTATTAGTAACCTGTATAGTAGGGAGGCCAGAGGGCCAGTCCGGGACATAAGGTGTCACCCCAATCACTTGCAGCACACTCACTGATGTATGGGCTGTGGGCATGTACTGGCTCTGTTACAGTGTATTGGTAGATATCTGGGGTTGGAGTGTGTTACCTATCCTATGATACCGATCGGCATCACCGGAAGGATCCAATTACCAAAACTGAGCAATTATTTGGCAATCTAGAATCCCAGGTAGACTTAATCTGCGGACAGCTAGCGATTTCAACCTTGTTAGGTCTTTTCAGCTGAGCTCAGAGTTACTTGCCGAGCCGATGGCAATGAAGTCTGATGAACAACAAAACATTTTTAAACCGGCTTATTAAAGTATCAAAGTCTGAGTGCTGTAACTGAGTGCTGTAACTAGGTAGATGTATGGTGTTGATTGTGTGGGCAACTATTTATACTTCATCACGTTCTTCAGCCGTGGTTGGCTTTCACCCCTCCCCTTTGATTGGCAAGTACATGCTATGGGATGTGGAATAAATTAATACACATGGCCGTATTGTTTGTGGTACCTCCGTGATTTGTCTTGCTGATAGTCATCGTCAACTTCTCCGTGCAGAGTACAGTTGGAATTGTGCTACGTTTCCTGGACGCACCTTGGCATGCACCTTTCCACAGCCTAATGTCCGTTTGAACTTGTTTGCCTGTCAATTACAGGTAGTAGGGCAAGCATTATAGATGTGACATATTAGGTTGTACGCAGGATTTTGATTCCGTATGTTGACGGCCATGTGTGGTTGTATTAATAAGCAGTTCAGTTCAGTGCAGTGCAGTGAATGCTTTCCAGCCTTCACACGGCTACATGACAGGTTGCGAGTGTTTCCACCGAACCTTGCTCAATTACTTTGCTCCTGGATTGGCACTAGCGTTCTGGTACCCATACAGAGCCGTCATGTGTTTGATATACGGCATCTGGCCAGTCTGTTGGCATGGTATCAGTGTGTTAAAGTTGCTGAGTATCAGCCATGTTGATACCTATACCGGGTGTAGCTACGTCCTTGGCTACTGGGCACTCACCTCTTCCTTTCATTAGCCTCCATTGTTGCAGTATAGACAACTGCCATAGTAGTACCTGGAAGGAGATGGTGTCTTCATGGGTGTGACGCGTATTCATACATAGCCATGGATAGGGTTAAGTGCAATCATGACACTGGTTCTTGTTGTACATTCTAGTGGATAGCACACCACAGGGTCTTCTCACCTCCTTTACACCAACGCCTTCTCTCTCTCTCTGGGCTACGGGGAAAGCATAATACCTTGGGGGACCGGGTAGCAAGACTGGATCACGTTGTGTTGTGTCACAACTTACTAGTATGCATTGTGCACGATGAATCACAGAGGGCTCTCCTAGGACATGTTTTAGTTTTGCTCCCGTAGTGATGCCTGCTTGTAACTGTTACCTGCAGTGCAGTGCAAGGCATCTTCTGCAGATCACTTAGCGCTAGCTGTGGAGTGTGGTGTGGCTGGGCAATAGGCGTTCTACAATCAGAGCTCCCACCCTCTGCTTGATTTACGCTGCTACATGCATTACACCTTATCAGTGCCTAAGTGCAGCTATATTTGGCGTAGCTTCAAGGCAAGGTTTGCTCCACACACAGGCACACAGGCACACCTGCTCTGTAGGCCCTGCATCAAGTGATAGTGTGTTCTGGGAGTGTGGGGAGTACTTCTAAGTACAGGTATGTAGTTAAATGTACATGCACCATACCAGTACACCACTGAGTGAGTGTCTCACTACATGTGGTAATGGTAGCATA